ACGTAGCACTTTTAATTCTTATTCTTACTTTTATTTTTTCATGTCTATTTAAGCGCAATTTATGACACCATGTTTGCACTGAAGCACCGCAGCAATTTCCTAATGTTGTAAACCTGCTCAACATTTGGCAATAAACCCCTTTCTGATTCTGATTCTACTCCGCCTAGGCTGCACTGTCGAGCGCAGATCCACTGAGCGCTCAACACAGACAGCATCGTCAGAAGGAAAGTTGATGAAATAAATTACAAATGTTGTATTGTTCGATACATATGCGTACCGAACCGAAAGCACTGTATCGAACGGTTCAATATCGATACGAATATCGTTGCACCCCTACTGTTTACCTCTGTCCTCAGAACTGCACTCTCTCTTCACTACAAGGACAATGTGAGCCCAGTTTTGTGCAGGACTGTCCACATGAGGAGATCACTGCCTGAGTCCAAAGCTTGTGCGTTTTGTCGCCAGCTCTGGAGCTTAACTCTGCAAAAACATGTCACATGTGTGAAGACAGTGTTGAGGTGTACTGATCAAATTATTCTCCCCACAGCTAACTGGGCTGACCACGCTGAATCCTTCTATGGGTTTGCTGAGCAGAGCATGTGAGGGCTCTGGCAAGCTACACCCTGAGTTAGCTGCTCACCACGATGGCACTGACATACTGGACACTGGCCTGGAGATGGAGTTTTGGAGTGAGCAGGTAAGCAGACAAGACACAATCTCTCTCTCTTTTTTCCAAGCAGCGGAGAAGCTGCAGGTGGAGCAGCCTTACATATGCTATCACGCATGTTAAAGCTGTAAATACAGGTGTCCTCAGCCAGTACCCAAAGGGCATGATGTCCCACACTGCATGTGCTGTACCTCGTTAGGGAAAGCAGCAGCCAAGGGGTGTGTGTGTGTGTGTGTGTGTGTGTGTGTGTGTGTGTGTGTGTGTGTGTGTGTGTGTGTGTGTGTCAAGAAATTACAAAAAAAACGAGAAGTCCACCTGAACTCCATCTGAGCCTCAGTTTGCATGTCAGGACAGCATAGTTAGAAAAGGCCTGAACCAGTATGGCTTATTAACAAATACACGTCAGTGTGGCTGTATCTGCTTTGGAGAGATGAGACTAAAGGTGAGACGTCTGGTCACAACATGTAGAAAACCAAACAGAAAGTTCATTGTGCTAAAGCTGTGCAGATTTAAACAGCCACAGCTCCATGAGAGAAAAGGCCTCACCGTGGTGGGTGTGCACAGCTGTGATGTGTGGCACGCTGCCGTCGTAGTCTTCGTAGCTCTCCAGCGAGCTCTTGCTCAGCGGTATGATGGAGCGGGCGGTGTCCCACCACGTCTCCCTGCCTGGTGGAGGAGCTCCTAGAAAATATCGGCCTGCCTCGCACCGACCCCGCTCACAGCTCTGACCCTGACCGTGGATGTGGCTGGTGATCTGGTCTTCAGACATGTTGTAGCAAAGTGTGCGAGGATCAGAGAATTGCCTGTAAACACAGGAGGCATCCACGCCTTCAGTCTGCTCCAGCAGTCGAGGGGAGGCCGAGTCTGTGAGCGGACTG